TTAATGCTCTGAACCACCATAACAATGTGTTTTTGCACCATGTCTTTTCTCCCACACAGTTTACATTTGATCATTGCTGCACTTTATGAAATTGACATAACATGACAATACAAGTTGTCTAAGAAAGTCTAAGAAGTCTAAGAGAAACATTAATTGTTACTTATTGTCCTAAAATGCCACAGGAGTTGATCAAAATGTATAACTAAATCTAATTTCCATAACTGCATACAATATTTTTACTGTAAAATCCTAATAGATTTTTGATTTGGTCTTAATTGAAAATTATAAGGTTTTTAGACCATAATTTAGCAGTATAGTTAGCTTACACTGGCTTTTTTGTTTGCCTTTTTTCACCTTATTTGCCTTTAAACATTTTGCTGTACACTATGAGTGTCTGGTTAAGGCTCCATGTAGGATGAGTCCAAGTCTCTTGAGGTGTTTCATATTGTCATCTAGGCAGTGTTTTCTGTATTATCTCTCCTCTTAAGCATCAGGTAGCATTACTCAGCACCATGATTTTGGCTTTGTTTACTAAGAAAAATGCTCAACTCTGAGTCTAGAGCTAAACCATCTTTATTTAAACTGCCTCAACTTTCCACCAGAGGGAGCACAGTTACGCCAAACACTTTTATTACCTTAAAAACACTCCAGTGTGCTGTTTTATGACTCCTTCTTCTGTGGAACAGGTACAAAAGGTCAGCACATTTCTGTCAGAACATAGCTTAAATACCAATACATGTGTTTGACTGTCTGTTCTCATTTTTATAAGGTTTACAATGAAAGTTTTTATTCTCACAGATCTCCTTTGTTGACAGAATTAATTAAATGATATATTCTATTTCTCATTCAGAAGTTAAGTTCTTAAAAAAGTTGCAAATCATAAATCACTGCTCTTCCCACTGGATAGAGAAGGCATTGCAGTTTCCATCTAGATGGAAAGAGGTTGGGCCCTGGTAACATTGGCGGGAACGGGAGACCATGCCCACTCAGAGAGTCAGTTGTTCCTGCCCTGAACCAGAACTTGTTTATTTTATCAGTGTTTTGTTTTTGATTTTTCAGTTTGAAAAGGCAACATTTCTGCACCACGAAGCAGGATTACTGGGTTAGGAAGAAGATATTAGGAGTAACCCTGACTTTAACAAAACTAAATCCTACTAAAGAAATCCTACTAAAAATAATCTGACACAGTCATCAGTGCCAGATTATTCAAGCCTTTGATGGGAGTTTTCCAGCATACCTAAGTGTTTCTGAATGCCTGATTCCGACCAGTTCTGCCTCTGGACCTCGGATTCTGCCTGTTCAGGTTCTGATCTGTTTGCCTGACCTGTCCTCGGACTGCTGCTGTGCTCGGACTGCTGGAACTGATTCTTGACACCGTCCTGGATTTCTCTTTGGTACCTCTTTGGACCCCTGATCTCCTGGCTCTGACTCCTGAGGAAGTCCTTGACACCAGCTTTGGCTTCGCCCTCTGGAATATTCTGCCTTGCTTTATCTGCCTGTCCTCCGACCCCAGGGACATCAGAATCTGGGACCCTCTGTGCGTCTCCTGTCGCATCCCTGCAGAGGTTCCTGCCTTGGATGCCCACTGCAGATCCGTTTCTAAATAAACATTTTTGAGAAACCTGTCTGCCTCGAAAACTGGGTTCCACTGTTCTGACTGTGACATCATTCAGATAAAATATTACAGCACATGCTAATAAATGTATTACTAAAATCTTAAAAAATCATCACAATGTATGGTAACACTTTACCATAACAATAATTTATAACTGGTAAAGAGTTAATTCATTGGACTAGTGATTAACAAATAGTTTATTAATATTTGGTAATCATTTATAAACTGCATCTAAACCATTTAGAAAAGGTAAATATATCATTGTGCCCTGGCATTTTAGTTTAGCCCTAACACTTAACATCAGTGGACCTGAACGTAATGTTAATGTTAATTTAGTCTGCCCTGTCATTTTGTACTTACCTTTACTCTTACATCAATGTGTTTATGCTTTAATTAATTATCTGTTTACCTTATATAAAATGTTTAGATTCAGTTTTTAAATGATTATCAAACATTATTAAACTGTTAATCGTTAATAAATGGTCACCAACAGCCCCTAAGAATTAAATACATCACAAAATTTAAAAAGCACACAGGTTTTATTGCATATCAATTTCATGTATAAATTCTTCATAGCATTGGAAAGATTATATTTGGTATACATTGCTATTCTACAGAATTAACATCAGAGTCATATTTTTTCAATGAAATTTCTCTAAAGTACATCTGCAATAATCACAAGCATCAAAAGAACTGCAATTTCAGAATTGTTCAACATTATTCTACAATCCTTTATTGTTTTTCATTAGGTCTTGTCCCATGAGTCTTTTCTGTCTTTCAGAACCTGCCCACACATCTGCCAGGCAGTCAGAACTTGAAGTCAAACCTACTAACCTAAACACATGTACAATAAGTGCATCTACAATTTTTTTTCTTTTACCTTTTTTTATGTGTTTTTGAATTGATACACATTTCACAAATGGACATCATTATGACTGCTAAACACGTCATGCACAATAACTTTTTTTTCATTTGTTTTCAATAAACATAACAGAAGCGATATACAACTCAGATTTTAACAAAACAAGCATCATTCATTTAAACCCATATTTTTAAAAGGTTTTTTTTTCTTCTTCAGACATATGCACCATTGTTTTTCATTCTTTAAAATACTATACAGTTAAAAAGAAACTGTCTTTTTTCACTTTCTTCTGTAACAGGTGGGCAAAGAGCAACCATGTTTTGTTATGCTGAAAAAAATGTTTCAGTGACCAGAACACTTTGTGAAGTTTCCAAAATGGAATAGTTAAATGTTTTCGATTCAGTCGCTTCACACAGCGCATGATTTTTACAGTAGTCCATGACATGAATAACTACACATAGTCAACCTAAAACCTTAGTGACCCAAGTCTTTACATTTTCTTAGCACAAATTGAAAAACAATGTGTTTACAATGAATGGAATCTCATTCAGTAGAATTATATATATATATATTTATAAAAAAGACTTTAGTCTTAAGAAAATGAGATGCTGCAGCAGTCCTAGCATCATACTACCACCTGCTGTTGTGAATTGAAATTACAGTGCTTTAGTTCTATTCTTATTTCTCCTTGTTGAGCAGAGCTGCCCCAACTGTTAAAAGTCAAATCAGTTTAAAAATGGATCCAGGTCTGAGTTCAACCAAGAGACCAGAACTTGTTCTGCTCAGGGCTTGGTCCCAGTTGTTTTAAGTGCTAGATCAAAAGTAGCATGAGGCCTGTTAATGAAAGTCT